CCCCAAAACCCCAAAACCCCAAAACCCCAAAACCCCAGTTTTGAGCACAAGTAATGAATTTATAATAATAAAAGTACGAATCAGTATGAAACTTTACCACTTAGAGGCTTAACCTCCGTTTTTGTAGCTACAATTTTGTGTTTTTACTAAAAATATTGGGTCTAATATAACTGAACATAGATGGAAAACGAAGAGCTTATTAAAGCAAAGGAGAGGAAGCAAAAGCTTGAAAGAAGTAGATTCAAGCAACAGACTTTACCTGCGTGGAGGCCAGTGCCTACTCTGGTGACTTCCATGATCACTTTTGTTATCTTTGGAATCATCTTCCTAACCTTGGGTATTGTTCTTATTGTATATACCGAAGAGATCGTAGATGTTGAGTATAGATATGATAATAAATGATCTGTTGGCTCTACATGTCAGGTCAATCTGACTATTCCAGAGAAAATGAAACAGCCAGTGATGGTCTATTATCAACTCGATAACTTCTTCCAAAACCATCGTAGATATGTGAAAAGTGTGGACTATGATCAACTTAGTGGAGAGAACAAAGGAGTTGGGTCACTTGATGCTTGCGATCCTATCAAAACAAACAGTGATTTAGGATTTACTCAAAGTTATGGTGGAGTAACTCTTGATCCAAGTGCAGCAGCTAATCCATGCGGACTTATTGCTAGAAGTTTCTTCAATGATACATTTTCTATGTTTAACCACTCCATTGATGAGACTGATATTGCTTGGGACAGTGATGTTGAAGAAAAATTTGGACAACCTGCTAATGCGGCAGACATCCAATGGATAAGTACAGTTGACGAACACTTTATTGTTTGGATGAGAACCGCAGGAATGCCAAACTTCAGAAAGTTATGGGGAAGAGTTAGAGATGATATTCCTAAAGGAACACTTACCATTACAATCAACAACAACTACGATGTCTCATCCTTTGATGGAAAGAAGACATTTGTTTTATCCACTACTAATGCATTTGGAGGGAAGAATTATTTCTTATCCATATGATATCTCATAGTTGGTGCTCTCTCCTTCGCCTTTGCTATTGTAAATCTTATCGGAAACATTCTTGTAAACAGAAATAAACTCGGGCATGATGGAAATAATGCCCATGTTGATTAGGGCAAGCTACAAAGATCTGAATTTATGCTATGCGTGACCATATAAATAAATTCAATTAGAAATTTGAATGATGGGGTTTTGGGGTTTTGGGGTTTTGGGGTTTTGGGGTTTTGGGG